GCACATCCCCAGTGGGGGTGTGCAGGAGGCAGCTGATCGATGTTTCTCTCTCATCGATGTTTCTGGCTCTCTATCCCTCTCCCTTCCTCTCTGCAAAAAATCAATAAAATATATACTTAAAAAGAAAAGTAAAAAAAAAAATTATATACAGTTAAAACTCTAAATTATTTAAACTAAAGGTATTGGCCCTGGCCAGTGTGGTTCAGTGGTTACAGGGGTTATCAGAGGTCCAGGGTTTTTTTATTCTGATCAAGGGTTTGTTATCTGGGTTGCAGGCTCCATGCCCGGACCCTGGTCAGGCCATGTGAGAGGCAACCAATCAGTATGTCTCTCTCACATCGATGTTTCTCTCTCACCTCCTTCTCTCTCCTCTCCACTCTCTAAAAATCAGCCCTAGCTGGTTTGGCTCAGCAGATAGAGCATCAGCCTGCGGACTGAAGGGTCCTGGGTTCGATTCCAGTCAAGGGCATGTACCTTGGTTGCGGGCACATCCCCAGTAGTGGGCGTGCAGGAGGCAACCGATCAATGATTCTCTCTCATCATTGATATTTTCTCTCTCTCTCTCCCTTCCTCTCTAAAATCAATAAAAATATATTTTTTAAAAAATCAATCGGAAAAATATTCTAGGTTTAACGAGAGAGAGAGAGAGAGAGAGAGAGAGAGAGAACCTATGTGGGGCTGGCCCGACAGGCACTCTAGCTAATAAAGACCAGACATCCTTGTGTGAAAAACGAATGTCCCCCTGAACCAGCGCGCAGGGAGAGCAAGACCTGTGCGCCTTCATCCTGCCCAAGGACGGCCCCAATGGGACCGTCTCCATCCGCGAAAGGAGAGGCGCACAGGAGCGCGATGGTGCATGGATGGATGGATGGCGCGCAGGAGCGCAATGGTGGATGGATGGATGGAGCACAGGAGCACAATGGTGGATGGATGGATGGATGGTGGCAGGAGCGCAATGGTAGGTGGATGGATGGCGCACACAGGAGCGCAATGGTGGATGGATGGATAGCGCACAGGAGTGCAATGGTGGATGGATGGATGGATGGATGGATGGATGGATGGATGGTGGCAGGAGCGCAATGATGCATGGATGAATGGATGGATGGTGTGCAGGAGCGCAATGGTGGGTGAATGGATGGGGCGCAGGAGCGCAAATGGTGGATGGATGGATGGCGAGCCAGGGGCCAGGGGCCAGGGCCAGGGGCGGCACGTACCTGAAGAAGGTGTCGATCATCTGCTTGGAGGGCAGCCTCCACAGGATGCGCGGCCAGGGGTCCCCCGAGGCGCTGCAGTCCAGCCGGAGCGTCCCCCCGTAGTGCACGTTGGTCCTCTGCGGGGAGGTGCCCGTGATGCGCGCGTTGGCCGCCACCGCCGCGCGCTGCACCGTCAGCTCCACCGTCCTGCGCGCCGAGCCCACCAGGTTGGCGGCTACGCACTCGTAGCGCCCGCTGTCCTTGGCCGCCAGGTTGCGGATGTAGAGGGTCCCGTTGGGGAAGACGAAGAGATTCCCGCGGAGGAACTGCGAGGGGCGGATGTGGGTGCCGTCGCGGAGCACCCAGCGCACCGCGGGCGGGGGCGCGGCCTTGGCGCTGCAGTGGATGTGGACGCTGAGCCCCGGGGGTAGCGAGATGTTCTCCCATTTTTCCTGGTGGATGACGGGGGGCAGGGCGGCCACGTGCAGGCGGATGGCCAAGCTGTCCGCGCCCGCCGCGTTGCTGGCGACGCACTTGTACACGCCGCGGTCGGCAAAGGAGGCCTCTTTGATGGAGAGGGTGCGGTTCTCGTGCAGCGTGACCCGGCCCTCCACGGGGGACACGGCGTGCCACACCCTGCGGTCCGGGAAGATCCAGGAGATCTGGGGCGCGGGGGTGCCCCTGGCCAGGCACTCCATGGCGATGGTGTCGCCCAGGTAGACCGTGACGTCCTGGTAGTGCGAGGCGAGGATCTGGGGCTGCTGGACCGACACGGACAGCAGGACCGCGCGCCGGTCCACGCCGTGCAGGTTCTGGGCGGTGCAGACGTACTGGCCGCGGTCCTGGACTTGGACCTGGCGGATGACGAAGGTGCCGTTCTTCAGGACCTCGAAGCGCTGGACGCGGGTGTTGGGCGTCATGAGGGCGCCTGGGAGGCAAACACCAGGGACTGTTAGAATCCAGAGAAACGACCCTCTTTTTAAAAATATATATATATATATTTTTTATTGAATACAGAGAGGAAGGGAGAGAGAGAGAGAAACATCCATGAGGAGAGAGAATCATGGACCGGCTGTCTCCTGCACGCCCCACGCTGGGAATGGAGCCGCAACCCGGGCCTGTGCCCTGACTGGGAATCGAACCCGGGACCCTTTGGGCCTCAGGCCACCGCTCTATCCACTGAGCCACACCAGCCAGGGCTGCTTCTTCTTTTTTTTTTTCTTTTAAAATATATTTGTATTATTACTGACTGGGAATCGAACCCTGAACTCTTGATTCATGGGTCGACCCTCAACCACGGAGCCACACCAACTGGTCAGATTTTTTTAAAATATGTTTTTCTTGATTTTAGAGAGGAAGGGAGAGAGAGAGAGAGAGAGAGACATCCACGAGGAGAGAGAATCATGGATCAGCTGCCTCCTGCACGCCCCCTACTGGGGATAAAGCCCATAACCGGGGCATGTGGCCTGATGGGGAATTGAACCGTGACCTCTTGGTTCATGGGTCAATGCTCAACCACTGAGCCACACCAGCTGGGCTCTCAAAAAATATATAAATATATATATCGATTTCAGAGAGAGGAAGGGAGAGAGAGAGAAACATCCATGATGAGAGAGAATCATGGATCGGCCGCCTCTTACACGACCCCCTACTGGGGATGCAGCCCACAACCCGGGCATGTGCCCTTGACCGGGAATCGAACCCTGACCTCCTGGTTTATAGGTCGATGCTCAACCACTGAGCCAAGCCGGTCGGGCTGCCCGGGCACCGTCTGAAAAGGATTCCAGATACACCCAGTTTTCACATGAGAAAGTAGCCGATTCCTCTAAGCTCCCATAAATGGCCTGAAACTTTTTTTATAGTCATTGAGAACGACTATGCTAATATGGTTCATGTTTGTGTGTGTGAAATACTAGTACATATCCAAGAGGATATAAATACTAGAGGCCCGGAGCATGAAATTCGTGCGCAGGGCGGTGGGGGTCCCCTCAGCCCAGCCTGCACCCTCTCCAATCCGGGACCCCTCGGGGGATGTCCGACTGCCGGCTTAGGCCCGATCCATTGGACCCAGTGACCCCACTTCTACGGATATTTCCCCAGAAACCAGAAACACCGATCAGAAAGGATATATACACCCCTGTGTTCATAGCAGCACCATTGACCATTGCTAAGATCTGGAAACAGTACGAGTGCCCGTCCGTAGACGAGTGGATTAAAATGCCATGAGAGCCGGGCCTGTGGCTCAGGGGTTGAGCATCGACCTATGAACCAGTTCGATTCCCAGTCAGGGCACATGCCCGGGTTGCAGGCTCCATCCCCAGTAGGGGGCGTGCAGGAGGCAGCCGATCCATGATTCTCTCTCATCATGGATGTTTCTCTCTCTCTCTCTCTCCCTTCCTCTCCCTAAAATCAATAAAAATATTCTTAAAAATTGAGTAGTGAAAACAAGAAAAAAAATGAGCAAGGAAAGGGAAGAGGAAAATTAGATATACGAACAAAACAACAGAGACGAGGATAATAATAAAATCACTGGTCTCTCTCTCTCTCTCTCTCTCTCTCTCTCTCCCTTCCTTTTAGAACGAAAATCCCATGGCGTCCTCATTTGCTAATTCCAGCAAACATTCCTCAGGAAAAAAAAAATCATTACGAGCCCTAACTGGTGTGGCTCAATGGACAGAGCATCGGCCTGCAGACTCAAGGGTCCCAGGTTCGATTCCAGTCAAGGGCATGTACCTTGGTTGCAGGCACATCCCCAGTAGGGGGTGTGCAGGAGGCAGCTCATCAATGATTCTCTCTCATCATTGATTTCTATCTCCCTCTTCCTTCCTCTCTGAAATCAATAAAAATATATTTTAAAAAAATCATTACGAAACGTTCGACATTAAAAGCTGAGCTGATCAAAGAAGTTGATCTATGAACCAGGAGGTCAGGGTTCGATTCCCAGTCAGCACCTAAGGTTTGGGAGCTGCCAACACTGCTGAGACCCACTGGAGCAAGGATGCTATGAGGTTCCCCCCAAGATTCAATCAGCTGTCTTATCGAAACAGAGACCCACCCAGCTGGCATGGCTCAGTGGTTGAGCATCGACATATGAACCACAAAGTCACAGTTCTATTCCCGGTCAGGGGCACATACCCGGGTTGTGGGCTCGATCCCCAGTAGGGGGTGTGCAGGAGGCAGCCAATCCATGATTCTCTCTCATCATGGATGTTTCTCAATCTCTCTCTCTCTCTCTCTCTCTCTCTCTCTCTGCCTTCCTCTCTGAAATCAATCAATCTATCTATATATATAAAAGCCTAATATGCAAAGTGTCCCCTCAGGAGTTGGATTGCTCGCTATGACATGCACTGACCACTAGGAGGCGGCACAGAACGTAGGAATGCCCCAGCCAGCAGCCGGCAGCCAGCCAGGTCTAGGGACCTGACCTGTGCATGAATTTCATGCACCGGGGCTCTAGTCTCTATATATAAAAGGCTAAGCAACTGTCCAACTGAACAACTTCTGACTGGTAGCTATGATGTGCACTGACCAGCAGGGGGCAGACTCTCTGACCAGTAGCTATGAGCTATGATGCACACTGACCACCAGGGGGCAGACGCTCCGACTGGTTGCTATGACGTGCACTGACCACCAGGGGGCAGACGCTCCGACTGGTAGCTATGACATGCACTGACCACCAGGGGGCAGACGCTCCGACCGGTAGCTATGACATGCACTGACCACCGGGGGCAGATGCTCCGACTGGTAGCTATGACATGCACTGACCACCAGGAGGCGGATGCTCTGACCAGAAGCTATAACGTGCACTGACCACCAGGGGGGCAGACGCTCCGACTGGTTGCTATGACGTGCACTGACCACCAGGGGGCAGACGCTCCGACCAGAAGCTATAATGTGCGCTGACCACCAGGGGGCAGACACTCCGACCGGTAGCTATGATGTGCACTGACCACCAGGGGGCAGACGCTCCGACCGGTAGCTATGACGCGCACTGACCACCAGGGGGCAGACGCTCCGACCGGTAGCTATGACGTGCACTGACCACCAGGGGGCAGACGCTCCAACCGGTAGCTATGACGCGCACTGACCACCAGGGGGCAGACACTCTGACCGGTAGCTATGACGTGTACTGACCACCAGGGGGCAGACGCTCCGACCGGTAGCTATGACACACACTGACCACCAGGGGGCAGACGCTCCGACCAGTAGCTATGACACACACTGACCACCAGGGGGCAGACGCTCCGACCAGTAGCTATGACACACACTGACCATCAGGGGGCAGACGCTCAACACAGGAGCTGCTGACAGAGGAGGGAGCCCGATTCAGGGGTGCGTCATCCGAGAACCGCCCTCTCGCCATCCGGGACCCGTCGGGGGATGTCGGGGAGCCAGATTCGCCAGATCCCCGCAGGCCAGGCCGAGAGACCCCACCGGTGCACGAATCCGTGCACCGAGGCCTCTAGTAAAGATTTTTTGTAAAAAATGCAGCCGCTTCCACGCCCTACCTGTAGAAACCTTGGTCCACGTAACGAAAGGCTGTGGCTTCCCCGTGGCCTCGCACGGGATGGCGACGTCGGCCTCCGCCGTGACGGTCACGGTCTGGGGGGACCTGGTGATGATCTGCGGCTTCTCTCCAAGGGTCCAGAATTTGGACGCCGGCGGTCCCCCCGCGGAGAAGAGCTTGGAGCCGCCCGGATGGAAGCTCCCGGAAGGAGGGCCAGGGGAGGACACGAAGGGGATGGCGTTCCGGGTGGGGTAGACCACGGGGATGTTCTGGATGTGGGTGGAGATGGGGGACACGGTCCTGGGACGTGGCAGTGACGGGGGCGCCGGCGGGCCAAAGTCCATGTGGGTGATGGTTTGAGTGTGGATCCGATTGTAGGCACCCGGGTTGACGGCTCTGTCTCTCAGCCCTGGGGCGGGAGAGGTGGGGGGCTGGGTCTTGGGGGTGACGCCCAACTGTGGGAAAGAGAAGGTCCGGTTGTTGGAGAAGAAGGGGAATCTCCCGTCGAAGTGATGAGGGACCCTGGCGTTGGGCGGCCGGCCCGCGGGGTCTCTCACGTCCGGGATGCTGTTGTGCCCAAACGCTCTGGAGTGGCCGTGGAACCGGTCCGTCCACTGGTCCGTGACCCTGTGAGGCGTGGCCGTGCGCCACGGGCCCACGGTGGCCGGGCTGGAGGACGTGGTCGTCGTCCAGGGCTTGTTTTCCGACAAAGCCCTCGAGGGGTACGCCGTGATGCCCGGCTGGTTGGTCCCGGGACGAGGGGGCTGGAACGTCGAGAGGTATCTGAGGGGGCTCTGGGTGGTCCCCTGGGGTGGCCTCGTTGTCCCTCTCGGGGGGGCCCTGGCCGGTTGGTGGAGGATTTGGACTCTCCCACCCGGGTGGTGGTGGTGACCATCGGGGCCACGTAGAACCATGTCCTTCGTCCTCTCATCTAAGACTTCCTTCTCGACCCCCTGTTTTGGGGTGACGTGAAATGGATCCCTCTTGGGAGAGGGGGTGGACAATTCGTTTCCTCGCCACCACGGGTGCTGGGTCACCTCCTCCTTCTTTGCGGGGGCAGTTTGGGGTTCGGGGCCCCCCACGGAATTGAGGACAACGTGGTCCTTGGAACCCATTGACGTTGGGGGTGGCGGGCTTGAGGTGAGATGGGCGGGCTCGGTGGTGGTGGTGGTTGGTGCCGGAGCCAGGAGACTCGTGGGTGCCAACGGGGTCGCTGACTCCCCCACGGGGGCCGGAGTGAGGACGGGATCCTGGGGTCGAGTTTCGGGATGGACGGGAGCCGGGGTGGTTTCGTGAGGATCCCGGCCACGGATGGTGGATCCGGTCCGACGTGAAGTCGCCTCTACATCTGCGCTCCGAGTAGTGGAAGCAACAATGTCTTCTCGTGTAGCGAGCACCAGGGAAGGGGGGATATCAGAGGGGAGATCCAGGTCCCCCGACTCTTGGGAAAAGGATGAGGGTTGCGTGAGGGTCTCCAAAGAGGGAGGCACGGGGGTGTCTGTCTGCGGACCCCCAGGCGGGGCTGTCCTTGGTGGAGTCCAGCTCTCCGTTCCTGGGACGCTGGAAGGACGGGATTCCTTCTTAATTTCTCCCGCGGTGGGGACCTCGAAACCAGAAGGTGATGTGACATCAATGATGGACTCACTTATGTTGTCATGGACGTTATAGACACTCGAATCCTCCGTCTCTTTTCCATCCGATACGGGCGTATCTGTGGCTGGCGTGGTCTCTTGGGTTGCATCGCGAGATACATGCATCTTGGGGGTGGTGGTCCTATATTCTGCCGCCCTAGTGGCCTCAGGGGGGTCCCCAATTCTCTGGGAGACGGTTGTAGACACCAGGGCCGTTAACGGACGGGGAGTGGTAACATCTGTGAGCTGGGTTGTCGAGGCCGTGGGGCTCGCTGTCGAGGCGCCATAGCGGTGTTTGTTTGGCCTCCTACCGTGCTTCCTCCGTGGCGTCCCCTTGGTTACGGGGTCCCCCTGTTTGGGGATCCCAACCGTACTCTCCCCCCAAGAAGTAGGAACCAGCGAACCATCCACTCGCCCCGGTGTCTTGGCTCCGGGTACGTGAGCGGATCCAGCCCAGATGGTCCCCGTGGGGGCGAACGTCGAAGGTGGGGTTGGCTTATGCCGGTGCCGGAATCTGTGGGGCCTCTGCCTCCTCCTCCCTTGGGGCCTTTTGCGGGAAGGGGGAGCGGTGGTGGCCGTGGATGGCCAGGTGACCTCTGGGGTGGGCGAGATGGGACCGCCGGCGACTAGAGAGGCAAGCGACGCGGTCGATGCGACAGACTCAACGCCCTGACGCTTCCTCTCGGATCCACGGGAGCTTGTGGGCACTGTCTCTGGCGTGTCTCCTTCCGGAAGCTTCCGAGAGTTCTCCTCTGTGCCCTTTGTGATCCACGGGTTGCCTTGAGGGCTGAAGCCATGGCTCCCGAACTGGGGGACCTCTGTTCCTTCCTCTTTGTGTCCTCGTGTTGCGAGATCGCCGGATCGCTCTGATGGCCCGGACTCAACCACGGACAAGGTGGGCGTTGGAGTGTCAAGCCTGGACGCCTGTCCTTCCGTCTTATCCTCATCCAATTCTGGGTCCACGGATGGCGTGAGGTCCGATTCGGCCCAGGAGGTGGCCACCGAGGGAGATGCATTCTCGGGGGATGTAGGCTCTGGCATGGGCCCAATGCCTACGGTAGACCAGTTGTCCCTGGCGATGTTGGAACCAGTGTCTATGGTAGACCAGTTGTCCCTGGCGATGTTGGGCCCAGTGTCTATGGTAGACCAGTTGTCCCTGGCGATGTTGGTTCCGACGTCTACGGTAGACCAGTTGTCCCTGGCGATGTTGGTTCTGACGCCTACGGTAGACCAGTTGTCCGTCATGACGTGATCACTGGTGGACTCCTCGTAGGCCGGGTCCAGGATCTGTGGCGTCGACGATTCGTAAGGGACATCCGACGTCCCTTTCGTGGCCATGGTCCACTGGGAGTCCACGGCCATCCGAGGTCGACCCCGGGTCTTTGCAGAAAACTCATCGTCGCCATCATCGGATTCTTGCAGATCGGAGCCGGTCGCATTGGCTTCAGCCGTGAGGACGCCAGCCTGGCCTCGGTCGGGCCTCCTCCCGGCGGCGGAAGCAGTCCTGGAAAGGGGCTCTTCCTCCCCAAAGGACAGAGCATCCGCCGAGAATTCCTCAGCACTGGCTGTCGTCTGGGCCGCCGCCGACGGGGACACGGCGGGAGGAGACGCGACGGGCGGGACGGGCGCGGAGTCTCCGCTCTCTGACGGCGCGGTGGCGGTCTCCACGGCGGCCTCGGGCCCTCCCGTGCCCTTGGGGACGTTCCTCCCGCGGACTCGGGCTAGGATATCCGCCCAGTGGTCCGGGTTGATCTGCTTGCTGGCCATGTTGACCCTCCGTCGGGACTCGAAGGCCCTGCGGCCCTCGGCGACGTTGGCCTCGGGCTCCCTCTCGGCGTGCTTCCAGGGTTGCGGCTTCCTTCGCCCCTTCTTGGTTTTGGGGTCCTCCTTTGGGTGGAGGAACACCTTCCGGTCCTTTGGGTGCAGGACTCTGCTCGGCGACGGGGTATCGTCCCCGCCGACGCCCGAGCCCCCTTCGTCCTCGACGACATCCCCTCTGGGCCTGGCCAGGGCCTTCCCACCCGGGCGTCGGCCCCTTTTCGACGCCCTGCCCGACCCTTTCCTGCTCACGGTGACCCCCACCGTGAACTGGTCAGCCCCTTGCTGGTTGACCGCGACGCATTGGTAGTAGCCTCCGTCGCCAACTCGGACCTCAGGTATGGAGAGGGTCCCGTTGGGCAAGACGTAGGCGTGGGACGTGTTGGCCAACTCGTTGACGATCCTCTGGTTGGGGAGAATCCAGCTCAGCTGGGCCTCAGGGACGGCCAGCGCCTGGCAAGGCAGCACCAGGGACTCCCCGGGGTTCTTTGCGACGGTCACCGCGTGTCCCTCCGTGGGCCGCACGGCGCGAGGCTGCACGAGGACCCGGTACGCCAGGCGGTCCGTCTCGTCCGTCACCCGGGCCACGCACTGGTAGACGCCCGAGTCGGCCCGCTCCGCCGATTTGATCCTCAGCCAGCCGCTGGTCAGGATGGAGAACCTGGAGTCCGGCTCGTCCGTGGGCGCCTTCAGCACCGAGCCGTCGGGGAGCACCCAGGAGATGGAGGGGCTCTCGGACGCCTTCACGTTGCAGCTGAGCTGGCACGGAGACCCTTCGAGGACCGTCTGGGCCCTCCGCACGTCTTGCCCGGGCTCGATCATGACCCAGCTGCGGCCGCGAGACTGCCCGGCGTCCTCGCCGGACACGGTGAGGGAGAACCGAGATCGGTAGGACAGCAGGACCTTCTTGGACGTGCTCCGACGGCGGTCGAGCTGCAGGTCGATGCGCGGCTGCAGGACCCAGGCGGGCCGGGCCAGGACGCGGGCCCGGACGCCGGTGTAGTAGAGAGCGTCATCGTCGGGGTCCTGCCTGTACTGGTAGGTGTCTACTCCGGCGTCTGGGCCGGGCACGGGCTCCCGGTGAAGCGTGACGGGCACCTCGCTGTAGTAGGCGATGAGCTTCCACAGCTTCTCGTAGTCTCTCGC